CCATTCCAGACCAAAATTCTATGAAACAAAAAGAAATAAGAGGAGAAGGAGTAGGAGAAGGAGAAGGAGGAGGAGGAGAAGGAAGAAGAGGAGGAGGCAGAGGAGAAGGGCATAAGGAGACTTTCTCTCCAAAAACAGCTGGGTTAATAGGGGGTGACAGGACAACCAGGCTGGTCACTCAGGGCTAAGGACATTCATTCACAGGGCACATGACCAAGGGAATTTAGAGCTGGGTCCTCTCCACTTGGCTCAGGAACCCAAACTCCATTTTCCAGTGCCTCCTCCCGATCCCAGCACCAATTACACTGGGGCAGTTCTTTTTGACCAAGACTTCTGACACAAACAACACACATTTTCCAATAAGGAGCATCTGTATGGACAACCCAATCCTTTGGAAAATTCCTGAAACATCCAAAAATGTTATAAAAATGTATTCACGTAATTCAGCTTTGCTTTCACTCGAATGTATCTCCCTGATGGCTCTAACAAACTGCAGGCTCTCTCCAAACCCTCTCTAGATTTGTCTGGAAATCTTTCAGCCAAACTCCATGATTGGTTTTCATCCCTTAACCTTCCCAGTTACTCACAGCATGAATATGGAACGAATTTATAGCATTCCTACCCTGTAATGAAATGCAAAGGTGCTGCATGAAAAAACACGCACGCGATTTCAGACAGGCACACGCAGCACTCGTGTGTGAGTGACACACGTAGTCAAGTAAGTCAAGTAGTCAAGGAAGAAAATCCTGTCATCTGTAATTCATACACAAGACTCCAGGTATCAAGAGCTGCACTCAGAGCAGCTGGTGGTCTCCTATTACCACGCTGGCTGCGGAGAGCTCTTCACATCTCATTAGCAGCATAATGAAGGCTCAGCCAGCGGCGCAGCCTCTCCAGGCTGCCAGCACAGGGAGGCCAGACCAGAGATCAGCGTATTCCACGGGTCTTACGGCTCAGGTCTCAAAACTGGGAAAGAGCTATCCAGTAACGGAGGCACAAACACGAGGAGCAAATGAACGAGCAAACCGCTCCCTGTGCCCCATCCTGCCGTGCCCTGGGCTCGCTGGGCACCCCCTGGGCACCTGCAGGAGCAATTCCTCACCCACCCACAGCCACTGCTCAGACCTACTGCCTCAGACCACTGCACTGAGCTCTGGTGCAGAACAGAACCCAAATCATGGCTCGAACCCACCGCGACCACAAGTGGGAAGTGGTAACTCACCCCCTGTACTTTACCTTTATCTCTGCTCTTGTCACACCTTCCTCACTTTTGCTTCACGTGGCAAGAAGACATGACCTGGCAGTGTGGGAAGGACAGGGTGACAGCCAGAAAACATCAGAAGGGCAGAAACACCACGAAAGGCGATAAAGCGTTTGAAGTGGCACAAAGGACACATGAAAATTAATTTCAGAGGGAAACTCCACAGCTAAGAATGCTATTTGTCGAGCAGAGCTCCATGTGGCCGTGAGGGAGATAGAACACTGGTGTGTATGAGGAGCTGCAGGGTCAGAAGGTGTGTGCAGAGAGGACACTGCCAGGGCAGAGCACACTGATGTACCTCACTTCCACCTCTGGAACGGGACCTCACCATAAAGCACTCTTACCGTGAAAAATCAGAAATAAGCACTTTGCAGTGACTCAAGGAGTTTTCAGCCTAAAGTCTCTGCAAATTAATACACTTTGTAGGAAAAAGCAGTCAAATGTGGTGTTTATTCTCAGCACTTTACTGCCTCACTCATTAACCCAGTACCTTACATGCTGTCTTTGTAATGCAAATTTGCTGAAGTACTGTGCTTTCCATAACACATTCACACAGACAAGCTCACACTGCTCAAATACCAGCTCTGAGTGGAGCAAAAACACCCTTATTTTTCCTTCATACTTGGGCTCTGCACCTAAGCCTTATCTGCCTAAGCAGTTTGTTTACTGCCTCACTCATTAACCCAGTACCTTACATGCTGTCTTTGTAATGCAAATTTGCTGAAGTACTGTGCTTTCCATAACACATTCACACAGACAAGCTCACACTGCTCAAATACCAGCTCTGAGTGGAGCAAAAACACCCTTATTTTTCCTTCATACTTGGGCTCTGCACCTAAGCCTTATCTGCCTAAGCAGTTTGTGAGAAACCCTGCTGCTGCTTTTCTGCAGCCACTGCAGCACAAAGGTGGAAGATTTCCCGAAGCAGCTGATGTAGGCAATTATAAACTGAATTACCACATGCCAAAGCCAAATGAAAAGACTTTGCAGAAGGTACCTGCAGCAGAGGGGTTTTGTTGAGGAGGAGATCATGGCAGAGTAAGGAGGAGATACCTGCCTTCAGGAGCCCAAACATTGCACCCACCACAACTGTTTGCTGAGCTCCTGCTCAGAGCCACACGGTGTCACCCCACGAGGGTCCCCTGGGCACCCTCACCACACTCCAGACACGCTGCCCCACTGAACTCCCTGGGCCCAGCAGGAGACACAGCCCGACGGCCAGCCCTGCAGCCCACCCTGACCCACCCTGCGCTGAGCGAAGGGAGAGGCTCCTGCTCCATGACTTACACAGCCTGGAGAAGGACCAGAACACCACTTTGTGTCTGTGGGGTTATGGCAGTGCTCTCCCTCCTCCAATGGATTTCAGTACTGGAACATGCACTACCACAGCAAACCTGTGGCCAGCTGAGATTCACAGCATAAACTGCACTAAACCGAACTCAAATACACAGGATAAATGCAGGAACTTCTGTGAGCTTTTCCTCCTCCCTCCAGAGGTAGCACCTGCTTTTGTTTCACGATGATTTATAACTGTGCCATCTCAAACCAAACTCTGATCAACAGCTCTCATCCTGTACTTAGTTTTGAAAATGCCATTTCTTTCTCAGGTTTGAAGAAGGGCCCACAAACCTGAAAAGTGCCTAACTTCTACAACTATACCAGTTGGTCTGATAGGAGAAAATACTCCCTCCAGGCACAAACCTTTCCCAGAGCTATGAGGCAGAACTCTAGACATCACTGCCCGAGGTGCCAGAATCCTCTACACAGGCTCTCCTCAGGGTTCAGAGCTGCAGTGCACAGGGAACTGACACCTTAACCAGAGGTTTTCTTTATTCTGCATAGTACCAAGCCAGCTGCAAGCCAGGGGCACTTCCAGCCCATCTGCTGGACCTGGCTCCCACTAACTGCAACCACAGGAGCTCTGCTGCTGCTCCCAAACCCAGAGGACTTCCTGAAGGGAACCAGGTCCACAGAGGGATGATGCACCCACAGCACAGAGGCACTGCAAGGAGAGGGCTCAGGGACTGGGAACTACCCCCAGCGGGACTGTTCTGCAGCACAGGCATAACCAAAGTGATTCCTGACTTTACATGAAACTGCTAAAAATAATAGCAGTCAGTGGGAAAAGCAAAACAAAACAAAAGCCAACCAAAAAAAACCAACAACCACTCCCCAAAATAAACCAAGCACCCGCCCTCCCATCCCAAAAAAACCAACAAATCCAAAGCTAACAGAGTCTGGGGCAGGATCTACAGTCAAAACAACACCAGCACAGTGTTTTTGCACAGGAGCTTCGTAACAGGCTAAGAACAGCGGTACTTGTTCAAAGCCCCGCGGTGATTTCTCAGCTGCAGCAGGAGGGTGAGCACACTGTACCTACTCGGTTCCAAACCATGTTCACTTGGCACGTCCTGCACACCTGAGGGCAGATAGGCCGTGGCAGGAGCAGCCCTGCCCTGCCCTGCCCCACCAGGAACCCACCCCTGAGCCCTGAGTGCAGCCTGCCCATTAGGCTGGTCAATAGCAGCGCCAGCCCAGAGACCTCCATCCCCAGGAATTCCTGCTCACAGGTCACTGGACAGCCAGACAACAACAGCTCCTAGCCATGACTGACCTCTCTCCCACACCAGCGCTGATTTCCAGGAGAAAGATGAGCCACGAGCCATCATCATCTATTCTCTTAACTGCAATTAAACCAAAACCACTCAGCTGTTTCTGTAGATTTTGTTTGTGCACAATACAAGGATCCTGCTATGCTTCTGGGCAGCAAACCCTAACCCAGGAAGATCTGGAGGCACTCAGGTCACCTGTGAAGGCAGGGATTGCCTGACTAGAAGCAGGTGCTGTTGAGCAGAAATTAGCACAGGAGCAGTTTGGGTAACACAATGTGCTGCACAGACCCGACAGCACGAAAGCTGACAAACGGATTCAGATGGGTGTGACTTGTGATGGAAAAGCTAGCTGCAATACAGAAAAGAAGAAAATGCCTCTCAGATATGCTCTGCTTTAGGAGCCACTGAGATGTAAAGGGGATTTACAGCAATACCATCTCCACAGTGCTCAGGCACACAGCAGAAGGAGCAGGCTGTGTGCAGGGCTGGCTGCTCTGACGGCTCGGGCAGAACTGGCCTCCCTGTGCCAGTCCTGCTCCCACTGTGCCATGCAGAGCTCTGTGGCACAGACAGGCCTGGGTGCCGTGAGAAAAACGGAGCACAGCCAGCATAACACCCAGCAAAGGCTGCACCCGAAAGCACAGCACACAACCAGCTACCTCCTCCTGCAGACATCTCCAGTGTCTGCCATTTGCATAGATTCTCCATCAGAGACACAGACTGCAGCGTGTCTGACTCCAGTAAAATGTCTCCTGAGAAAGTCTGCCTTGATCTACAATTCTCATACTTGGGTTTTAATTTTCAGCCCTATTTACAGGAATCTGCTTCCCCAGTTTTCTAGCTGAGACTGCATGGTTTGAAATATGCCCATCAGCTATCACATGACTGCAAATCGACTCAACCAAGAGATATACATTCTCAGGCTTCAGAAAATAATTAGGCACTCCTGATTTTCCTGCCGCTTCCAGAGGAGCAGATGTCAACAACCACATTAACAACCAAGACCACTGGTCCCATCCAGCCTGACAGCTCCTGCATTCTGATATCACAGTGGTTCGTGGACCTGCTGCCACAGGACCCACCTCAAAGCCACGTCCAGCCTCCGTCCCCGTGGAGCTCCGACTCACCAGGCTCCTGGTCCTTCGTGGAGATGCACTCCTTGATGGATTCGGTGATGCCGAGGCTGGCGGCCGTGGGAAGGGGCCCGAGCAAGGACTCCAGAGCAGGGGGTCTCACCAGAGTCTCAGTTCCATTTCTGCATGCCCCATCTTCAGCTTTTTTAACTCTATCCTTCTCATGAAGCTCATCATAAAAGTCCTTATTTAAGTGGTTAGCAGCTGCTTCCAGTTCCTCATCTTCTGCCTCCTCCTCCCCAGCTATGCTAGAGGCATTATCTTGTGTGGAATCTGTCAGGGGAAAGAGCCCAACAGATCATGGCATGCCATCTGCTACATAAACTAAATAGAGAGGTGCTCAAGAAGGAAAATCTGTAGCAGAAATCCACAACACT